ATGTGCCCGCAACCCAGGTACATGCCCTTGACCGGAATCGAACCTGGGACCTTTCAGTCCGCAGGCTGATGCTCTATCCACTGAGCCAAACCAGTCTCGGCTATACGTGTATTTTTTAATCTTTACAACTACAAGTGTCCTATTATCATCTCCATTTTATAGATGAGAAAACCAGGGCCCAGGAAGGCTAAGTAACTTGCCAGAGGTCACACAGCTGGTTAATAGTGGAACTAGCATTTGAACACAGGCAGTAGGCCTCCAGAGTCTGTGTTCTTACCACATTGAGCCTTCTCTAAATATTAATATTGAGGCCCAGCCCAGTGTGGCTCAGTGGTTGAGCATCGGCCCATGAATCAGGTCACTGTTGAATTCCCAATCAGGGCACGTGCCTGGGTTTCAGGCTTGGTCCCCAGTAAGTGGTGTGCAGGAGGCAGCTGATCAGTGATTCTCTCTCATCATTGACGTTTCTTTCTTTCCCTCTCCCTGAAATCAATAAAAACAAATTTAAAAAAATATATTGAGTACTTACTGTGTGCCAAGCTGAGACTCTGGAGCTCAGGCTCTTAATCACCATGTTGTATTTGGGTTACCTTGGACAAGTCTTTTTCCTCAGAACTTCAGTTATGAACAATCCTATATAATAAAAGGCTAATATGCAAATCGACCGAACAGTGGAACGACAGGTGGCTATGACGCGTATTGGCCACCAAGGAGCAGACACTCAATACAGTCCACAGGGGGAGCACCACTCAGCCAGAAGCTGGGCTCACAGCTGGTGAGCGCAGCTGTGGTGGCGGCAGCCTCTCCTGTCTCCGCGGCAGCACTAAGGATGTCCCACTGACAGCTTAGGCCCGCTCCCCGCAGGGACTCCCCCAAGAGCTCCCAGACTGTGAGAGGGCGTAGGCTGGGCTGGGGGACTCCACCTCCCAGTGCACGAATTTCATGCACCGGGCTTCTAACCCTTTAATAAATGCCCATTCCATGTTGGCTATTTCACCTAATTCATCACCAACATCCTGGCTAGCATGTCCTGAGCTCTTTTTATGTGCCAGGCACTTTTCTAAGTACTTTACATGTTTTACTCATTAGATATGTATGTATGATAGCTCTGCAAGGTTGATCCACAGAGAAGTTAAGTGACTTGCTCAAGGGCTCACATCTAGGAATTGTGGGATGCAAGATTGGGTAGCCTTGTGATTATCCAGGGCACTGTGGTTGCCTTTGGGGTCTTTGGTGCTCTTAGCAAATCAGTTCTGTGTCCAGGCACATGGATGAACTGTACTTTCCTGTCCCCTTGAATTTAGCTGCAGCCAATGATATAGGATGGAAATGATAGGTCACTTCTGGACATAGCGTAGGGGCCAACCTGAAACTGTTTGAGAAACACAGGTATAGATAGCTATATACAATTTTGATGACCTGAACTTTCCTCATACTCCTCAAAGTTTTTAAAAATAATACAGTAGGCACCACAGAAAGAGAAGTCTGTGGACCTATGAAGACAAACTGTCTATGTCACCATTTAGCCAATAACCAGGGAGAGACTCAAGTAGATGTGGAACGCTAGTGGAGAAGCCCTGTGAAGGGGGCATCTGTCAAAGTGATTAGCCAGATGCTAACAAGGATTCTTCTGGGCATCAGTTATGTGCAGCAGATAAAAATACAACCATTCGCCCTAACCGGTTTGGCTCAGTGGATAGAGCATCGGCCTATGGACTGAAAGGTCCCGGGTTCGATTCCGGTCAAGGGCACGTACCTGGGTTGCGGGCACATCCCCAGTAGGAGGTGTGCAGGCAGCAGCTGATCGATGTTTCTCTCTCATCGATGTTTCTAACTCTCTATCCCTCTCCCTTCCTCTCTGTAAAAATCAATAAAATATATTTAAAAAAAAAATACAACCATTCTTAGAAATGATCAGGGCCTGGCCTGGGCATCTTTTGCATTGGAGTCAGCCTTGCTGCAGAAGCCTTACATTGGGTATGTATGTCTGATTATGAGATAGTTAAATGTGACTGAGAATGTGTGCTTGGGGGTCAGGTCAACACACAGCATCACTGCTCACTGATTGTGTGACCCTAGGCACGTTCCTAATTTCTCTGTGCTTCAGTTTTCTCATTTTCAAAATGGGGCCATGACCACCTACCTTGTGGGATCACTGTGATAATGGAGGCAATGTATACAAGACAGAGAGCTGCTTGGCACATAGTAGGTGCATAACCAGCAGGGCCAGTTACTCTTACCTGAGTGCCAGACTTGATTGTGTCAGTCTAGTCCAGGGTCTAATACAGGTCCAACGGCTCAGCAAATGATGAATTAATAAGGGACTAAGGGCTAACTTACAAACTCTGGATAAAGTCATCCATCAGATACCATGTTCCACAATTAACTTCAATGCATATTAATTTCTAATAGTGAGAATTAGATCCAACAAAGAATTGGAGAAAGTAAGTCTAGACTATATATATACCCAAAATGCCTTCTTTAGGAAAGAAGCGGTAGTAAAACTGTGTTGTTGTGAGATGTAGATTTAAGATAAGATCCAACCCACTGGATGTATGCAGGGGCTGAAACCAAGCCCTTGACTCCATTAGCAACTGCTGAAACTCCAGCAGCTCGGCCCATTCTCATGCGAACGGCAGGTTCTCATTAATTCCTTGTTGGCGTGATCTGTCCACTTTAGTGTTATGTTCTCATTAGGAAGCCAGTGTAGGACTGAGACCTACCTGTGTCTTTCACACCCACAAGAAATGACTGAAAGGTGGAGGGGCATTCTTTGCAGTCAGAGAATCTGAATTTAAAATCCTTTCCTTTGCTACTTCCTAGCTATACGGCTTTAACTGTGCTATTTCATGGTCTGAACCTCAGCTTCAACTATAATGGGATTAATAGCTTAGTCTAGGGCTCCAAGTGTAACAAAGGACAGTGCCTGGTCCCCACCAGGTGTTCCTTTTTATCTGAGTCCCTCCCTTTGCTGACAGGGCTCTCCCCCCTTTCCCAGTCTGCTGTGCTACAGACAAAAATCCAACCACCCTTTATCCAGCCCAGGGATTAAGATCTCTGCCTCACAGCCCAGGAACCAGACCTTTTGTGACCAACTTCCATTCTTTGACACAATAAGGGAGAAAGACCAACAGTATATGGGATTTTTTGTTCATTTTTTTATTTAGACATGGAATTTTTCTTTCATTTCATATAACTTATCTAATTAAAATATTCATCTTGGTAGTTACCACAAAAAAGTAACATAGAAAATTATATTTACATTTTGGGACCAAAATACAAATGAAGAGCAAGATGACACCTTGCTCCTTCCCCGCCCGCCTCCCAGAAAGAAAGAGAAAGCCCTAAAGAAACTGCTCATGAGATCAACGATCACAAAGGGTTAATTTGTAATTTGCTGATTTGTATGTAGTGTAGCACAGAAAAAAAATTGCACACGTTTTCACAAATGAGACCAAAAGTTCGACGTCATCCTATGTCTGTTTAGCAGCCATTTCAAGCACCCAGGTGAGGAGGTCATTTAGAAATTGGGTTTCTCCTCTTCCTTCCTTCCTGGTTTCACCAAGTCACATTCCTGATGCAAACATGCTTGGAAGGGGAGGAGGAAAGTCCTGGCTCTATTCAAACAGGGGTGATCAAAAATCTTTATGATAGTGATGTTGGGATGAAAGTATGTGTGTTTTTTCCCCTCTCTGTCTAAAGACTCCTAATAAAGGAAATTAAATCATACACAACTGAATCTGAAATGTTAAAAACTGGTCTCAATGACAAAGACTTGAACACACAGCTAAGAGACAGATTTAAGGTGGACACCTTGAGGAAGCTATTCTAGGAACCTGACCCAGATGTTCATTTGGTTTTAGGTAAGAGGCTTCCTAATATTCCTAAGATTTGGGGATAGGGATGGAATGGTAATACAATTAATCAAGAGAAATAAAATCCATTCAGAGAAATAATGTTTTACCCAGTTAAAAAACAGCAAATTAAAACAGAGCAATACTTATGTCACATCACAACAGGCACCTGCACAGCAATGCACTGATCTTGCTCCTAAGTAAACTCAAAAGGGAGGCCCTCCCTTCCCAAACCAGCTGGATGCCCCTGTGGTTCTCTCCCATCCTGATGCTATAGCTTGGACACTTTTGCTAAGTTGACCCTTCGCTCCAAATTCTGGCTTACACACTCGGAAAGTAGAGAGAGCTTCAGCTGCAAAGTTCTCTACAAAACAGCAAATTGTTGTGCTCTTTCAGTCACATGATCTTACCTTTTAAAGAAAGCGAAAACAAAATCAATTTCCAACATAGCATTACAACTTTTAAAACCATTCACTTCTAATAGTAATTCAGAGAGATTGAGATTAAAGTGCTGGCTCTTAAAATTCTGACGCTGTATCTGGGGGTGGGGGGGTCCTACCAAAAGCCCTGCCATGTATTTGTGTTTTTCTCCCATGCTAGTGGGAGAAGGAAAAACAGGGAAGGAAAAAAAAAACCCTAAAGTTTTGAATCAGACACTGGAAATTGTAAAAATGCTGGGATTCTGTGCAAATCGCTCTCCCAAGGGTCTGTGTCGTCTAGTGAGCCTCGAAAACGAAAAATAAAAATAATTTGGAACTGCAAAATAGGACGGGGGGAAAAGACTCTAGACCTTTACAAATAGCCTCCCTTAATAAATACTATTTAATGAATAATAAAGAGTTGTACCTGCAGAGGAACTCAAAGCAACACTGAACAGGGTCTGAGGTGAGGGGTCTAACCTGGATGCTCCTGTCTGCTTGCTGAGGCCCCTCTAGGACAGGCAGCCCAGGACCCACTCCTCACCCTACGTGGAGCGGGCACCACAGGCTCTGGGGATGCCCAGTCCGCCCTCTGTACCAGAGTCCTTTCAGGAGAGCTGAACTGGGACAGGGGAATGGCTTTCATTAGGCCTCTAACTTTAATAAAGGACCTGAACATAAAGACTAAGTATGTGGTAGAGGACAAAAACCAAAGAAAACCTGGGGGTAATATAAATACAATCTGGGGCAATATTTATTAAAACTATCTTATAGTTTACAAAGAAGCTAAATAACAACAGAAGTATAATTGACCTTAAAATGCTCAGTGAGACTGAGGCTTCACATCTTCTTCAGAGCTCTGAAGTGTTCTCAGGCAGGAGGCAGTGGCGCGGCACAGGCTCACAGATGCGACTCCGGCGGACTGTGCAGGACTCGGAGACCAATGCTGCCACAAAGCAGACTCGGGTCTCCTTTGGAAGTTCCATTCCCCAACCCCCACTGTCCTTGTCTTCCTCACCCCCAAATTCCATCTCCAAGGCAAGTCCTCAGTTTATCGTCGGGAGAATCTGTTCTTGAATGCTTTAATTGTCTTAGCCATCATGGGGGCAATTTCTGTGGAAAGAGAAATAAGGCATTGTTTCAGATCCGTGGCAGTTTAGACAACACCAGCGGTTTACAATCAGCCAAAGTCTTGCCACACTCTTGGTTCTGCACCACCAGGAAAACGGATGCAAGTAGTAGCTGTTGGCTAACATCACAACAGAAGCAGCAGCACAGAGCTACCACCTGCCAGACCTGGAACAATCACTATTTCTAACAACCTCACCAAGACTCACACACTGGCTAACCTGCCCCCGTAAGTGGCAGAACTAATTCAATCCGGACTGTAAAGGCCATGGTGAGCCATAATTTACCTTTGTCTCATAACACCCAAACCAGCAAAAAGCATTCCCTTCCCACCGTCTGCCCAGTGTAGCAACAGGCGTTAACACAAGCTAAATGCAAATACGGACTAAGGACTGATAAATCTGCACTCAGCCAAAGCTTAAGCCAGGATTTCTACTCTCCCATGGGCTCTGAAGACAAAATAATGCTTTTAAGTTAGGACACCTCTTTAGAATACTGGGCATCATCTATGGTAATCAAGTTAATAAAATACAAACAGACCCAACTAGATATAAAAAATAAATACTTGGAAGCTGGGGTTTTAAGGTTGTAAAAACCTCAATAAGATGAACTATCATGCATCACACACACAAAATGATGCAGGGTAATGACATTGAAGGGGTTCAAACACTAGTTTTGAAATATCTGAGCAGAAACCCCAAGTCACTCACTCTTCACCGCCGGTTTCCTGGGATCATAGGAAACAGTGCTGCTGACCACAGGCGCCAAGTGGGCACTGCTGGTACTGGGGCCGTCGTAGGTGGGCTCTTCCGGGCTGGCGGTAAAGCTATTGCTGCTGCCACTGTTGGAGGGAGCTTGGCTGCTTCCTATGGGGTAAGGGGCTGGCTTAATCCTGCAACACAGAAAAAGCTGGTTAGTCATGAGCATGAGAAATCCACCCTCAGCACCAACAACCAAAAACTGGCCGGCCTTTCTGAGGAAGACTCAGTTTCGTGGCGTTGAGCACTGCCTCCTGCCTGAGAACACTCAGAACTCTGAAGATGTGAAGCCTCAGTTGCACTGAGCATTTTAAGGTCAATTATACTTTTGCTGTTATTTAACTTCTTTGTAAACTGTAAGATAGTTTTAATTAATAAATATGGCCCCAGATTGTACTTATATTACCCCCAGGTTTTCTGGAAGTGGCTCTGGGATGACAGCGTCAGCCCTTCAGAAGGAATGTTAGCCTCAACTAACTTTTCATTGTTTAGGTGTAAATCTGCAGGGCAAGGGCAGAAGCAGGATGCTCTGTGGGGAGGCTGTTACACAAATCCAGGCAAGAACTGATGGTCCCAGACACAGCTAACAGCCATGGAGGTGGAGAGGGTCAGATTATGGGCATCTTTAGAAGGCAGGGCTGGTGGTATTTGTGCTGCATCAGATATGGGCATAAGAGAAATCAAGGACAATCTGAGTAGTGGTGTGAGCAACAGGAAGGATGGAGTTGCCATTTGCCCAGATGGGAAAACCAAGAGAGGATCAGGTTTAGAGGTAAAAATTAAAAGTTCAGCCAGGCCAGTGTGCCTCAGTGGTTGAGCATCAACCTATGAACCAGGTCATAGTTCAATTCCCAGTCAGGGCACATGCCCGGGTTGTGGGCTCGATCCCCAGTGGAGGGCGTGCAGGAGGTAGCCAATGATTCTCTTTCATCATTAATGTTTCTATCTCTCCCTCTCCTTTCCTCTCTAAAATCTATATATATAAAAGCCTAAGCAACCGGTCGACTGTTCGACCATCTGACCAGTAGCTACAATGTGCACTGACCACCAGTGGGGCAGACGCTCAATGCAGGAGCTGCTGAGCTGTGGTGACTTGGCAGTAGCAGTCCTTGGGTGACGCACCCCGGAACCAGAGATGGGGGAGCCCGATTCCTCATGGGGCCATGCGATTCCACCTTTGGCTATGGGTTATGTTGTTGCTGGGGCACTGTTGGCCCCAAATCTGGTTTACTGCTGAACTGACCAGTGACCACAGACACCTTTCGAGCCACTGCAGCTTGGGCAGCCAGGGAGGGACCGCAGAAGATTGGCTCCAGGGCATATCCAGCTGTCTAGCCCAGTCCCATCCCACTGGCCACCGGCTAATTAATTTCCTTTTAATGTGCACGAATCTGTGCACCGGGCCACTAGTATTAAATAAGTTAGTCATACAGTAAACACCATTTTTGCTTAAATGGGGGAAAGGAAAGTGTAAGTGTTTCCAGAAGCCAGGCCCCGTTCTCTACTTAACCTTGACCTCTCTGAGAGTCAGCAATAATTATCCATCCTGCACTGCAGTCAAGGAAGCTGGGGCTCCAGAACCCACTCTGCACTGCCATGCTTTCCCTCCAAAATGAATTGCCTGGGCTGCCTTCTCAGGGTGAGTGAAAGCTCATGGACCCTCTTCCCTGAGCTTGCAGAAACCAGAGCAGTAGAGATGGTACCTGATTTTCTCGGGCACAGCTGCTCCTCCTGTTCCAAACTTTTCCTGCCTCCTTCGAACATCACGAGGTGGTTTGGCTACAGAGTGGACAAAGGCCATCTTTGCCTGTCGGCCTGTGGAGAAATACGAAGATTAATACCTGCCTTCTGGAACAGAGATGCTACTGTTATTTCAAGAATCTACACTATTGCCAGATAAAAGCTTATCAAGTGCCCCCAACGCTGCGGGTTCACCAAGCCTGAAAACCGCTTTGTAGGGTAGCATAAGCAGTGGTAGAAAAACCCCCTCTGCCCCACTTGTGCAAATACAAGAGATTTAGGGGCCAGAGGCCCTACATCAGCGGGACCTACCAAGACCCTGTTGTGGACCAGAGCACAGGGCTCACTATTTTGAAGGCCCCATCCTGCCGGTCCTTCCCCGCCTACCTTTGGGCTTATTGGCATGTGCAGATCGGATATTCTTTGTCAATAATTGTAGCCGCTGCTCTCGGGCATCCTGAAGCCTCAAATACATCTCCCGCCATGACTCATACTCTTCAGGCCTTTCTTCCTTAAAGTCTCGGTGACAATGAACTTTCCATAATTGATCTGTTTCTTCAATTAATACCTAAAACCAGAACAAGGACGTCATTTATATGCAAGCACTCTTATGTATCTCTTTTCCACCTTTAATCACCTAGTTTCCTAATGATGTTTTGGTCTACATAGAAATAAAATACCCATGGTTCTAGAAAAAAATCAAATCACAAAATTAAAGTTAAATGTGATGCACCATACTAGCTGCTTTTGGGGGGTTGTATGGCTAGGAGATAAGACAACACAACATTAGTTTAAGAGCATTCTTTTCCTTTATAAATATCAATGAAGGGTCAACCAGAATGAAGTCAAATCCAGGCATTTTCCAAGTGCTACACTGAACTGTATTGGCGAGGGCCCATCTAAGGAGGATATGTCAGGGTTCAATCAGATAAGTGTGTCCCAGCATTAGGAAAAGGATATCTGGATCGATCTCGATGTGCCTAGGACACACCCAGCCCCTTGTGCTCTTTAAAAAATTCACCAGACACCTGAGTGTCAACACAAAGCTCTATCCCCGGCCTGGATCGCAGGGCTGGTGCTACCAGAATTCTCCCTTTGCCTCTGTGACCAGGTAAGCTCAAAGGAGGTGTGGGAAGTGCTTTCCTGCTTCCTCTGAATCCCACCTAAGATTCTAGCCCAAGAAGCCACTTAAGATGCCAGAGACAGATGCTAAAAATATTTTTGTTTAAAGGCCCACTGGCAAAACAAACACGCCCAGAACAGTGATCCAACCTGTGGCCTACCCTTCAGCTGCAGCCAATTCAAAGACAATGCTATTTTTGGACACACAAACCAGAAAACTGCCCTCTTCCCACCCAAACAGGATACTCACATGATTGTATTCCTCTATGCGATACAGCTGATCAGGCGTACACCTCTCCAAAACGGGTTCCAGAACAGAATACGGGACGCCTCCCACTTCAAAGATTGCTGCAGAGAATCAAAGGTGAAAGCGCTGAGTAGTAGCCAAGCCACCCAGTGATACTGCCCTAGCGAGCGCCACAACATGCTTGAGAGCTAGAGAGAAGCATGTGACTTACAATCAATGTTGTTTTTAAGTACCCGGATGCACTGCTGGTGCAAGGTCATCATTTTGGGGAGATAAGCACACTTGGAACCAGAGTACACCTGCATCTTAGAATTCATTCTCCGTCCAGTGAATCCAACTTCCTCCTCCTCCTGGGAAGAAGAGTGTGCTGTAACACAAGAAACACAGAACGTAAGTTACAAAGGCTCTAAGCTATCGAGTGAAAACCCTCCCTCCCACCCCATTCCTCAGCCTCCCTTCCCTTTCTCAGAGGCAGCCAATGTCACCAGATTCTTGTGTCCTTCCAGAGTCTATGCAAAAGTAAGCAAATGTGAATTGTGTTCCTTTTTAACCAATTAGTAACATGCTCACTACTATCATCGTTTTCTTCATTTACCACATTTTAGAAATCATTCCATGTCAGTACATAGACTTTCCACATTTTTAAAAAGATTTTTAAATTGGCAGTTTGATTCAGTGGACACAGCGTTGGCCTGTGGACTGAAGGGTCCCAGGTTCGATTCCGGTCAAGGACACATGCCCGGATTGTGGGCTCAATTCCCAGAAGGGGGGGGGTGCAGGAGACAGCTGATCAATGATTCTCTCTCATCATTGATGTTTCTATCTCCCTCTCCCTTCCTCTCTGAAATCAATAAAAAAAAAGAAGAAAAAAACATGGTAGCTAAGAGCTTTATCAGCTTTTAATCCACTACACAGCCCTAAGAAACAGAAACCATTATTATTCTCATCTATAGAATATGAAACTGAAGTCCAAGGAAATTAAGTTACTACACAAGTTCATGTAATTTGTAGAAGGCAGAGATGGATTCAAACTCAAGACATCAAACTCCAGAGCCTGTCCAATTAAGAAACTCACCAAAATCTGATGACAGATCATGATTTTTAAAATCTTTCTTCCATTTAAAAAAAGATACAGAAAATTACCTTTTCGCTTTGGTTGGAAGGAGGATATCAATTCGAGGGAAGGAAGTGGCCGGTAATTGGCCTGTATCACAGGTAATGGGATGTCTGGCAACACTGGCAGGACATCGATGGGGACCTGCAGAAGAGAGACCAGTGACTGGAGTGCCCTTTTCTACAGGCACAGCTTCCCTTCCTCCTGTCCATACCCAACAGAGTGGGCCAGGCAGTACCAGGCAGATCCAGGCTGGAGGAGAGCAACAGGCATGTCTGACACCTACGTCAGGAAATACAGACAGATGGGCCCAGCACCCAGGGCACCTCAGCAAACACTTCTTGGGTATTCTCCACCCTGGCAGGTAGAAGCCTGGAGGAAACTGAAATTCAACCGGCCATACAAAAGCCAGCCATGCAAAGAGCAGCAGGGTGGGTCCTAGGAGCTCTGCAGAGCCAGATGCTCTGAATGGGAAGCACCAAGGGGCTGAAGGGGTTACCTTTCTCGGCTTGGCTGCATCGGCTCCAGCTGCCTGATGCTTCTCTGGCTTGTTTTCGTTCACCTTAGGCGATTTCTGAACTGTGTCCGAGCTTTTACTAGTGCTTTTCGAATCATTTTTTTTAAGTGCTTTTTCTCCAGCGGTCGCAGTTGAGGTTTTCACAATCTTTTTCTTTTTCTTCCGCGGCTGGTCATAGCTGAGATATGACTCAAAAGACATGGTGGGCTGCTCAAATTCATCATCCATATCCGTCTCCTCAACTCTAGGGAGGGAGCCCGCTGACTTTCTATCTGAATGAGTTTTCACTTTCCCTTCTTGAGTCTTTAGGTTGTTAGAAACCTTCTCTTTTGCTTTGGGCAGCAGGTCTCCAGCCCCCTTTCCACTGTCTAGACTTTGCTTGTTTTTGTCTGATTTAGTTTTCTCTGAGTCTTTGTGCTTTTGCTTTTTACGGTGGTTGTCTGAAGCAGTCTCCAAGGGGGATGAAAACTTCTTGGAGTTGCCCTCTCTGTCCTTCTCTTTCTTGATACCACTAGAGGGCGCTTTCTCCTTTGTGCCATCCCCTGAAAGGGGCCTCCGGTTTTCCTCTTTGACGATGGCCTTGTGGGATTTCTCTCTGCTCAAAGGCGACTTCTCATCTCCCCTGGCATCCACTGGACGTTTTTCTTTATGGGATGATTTGTGCTCCTTGTTCTGACTCACAACCCCTTTCCCCCGGGGCTCACTCAGGTGTCTTTCCTGGCTGGCCCCGAGTCTGTCCTGCGAGGCATTACTGTGGGCCTTTCCAGGCTTCTGGTGTGGAACAAAGGGCTCATGGTCCTCATCTGGGGACCTGTAATGGTCCATGGACATCTGATGAGGACTGCTGGATGATGGAGGGGACTGCACATGGCCGTAATCGGAAGATTCATGATCTGAAGAGTAAACTGGTGAAACCCTGTGGCCCCTCTTTCGCTCATCTCGTCTCTCCTGACTGTGAGACACTTTGTGAGGTCTTTCAAACTCTGAGAGTTTTCTGTGTTTTTTCTGTCTGTGATCAGGACTATATGGTTGGCTACTGGAGGCTTTCCAGTTTTCTTGATAGTCCCCCTCTACCTCCTCCTCCTCCTTCTGAAGAACATCCCTGGGGCGCTTTCGGGAATCATTCTTCTCAAAGTCCTGTTCATCAGGGTCAGTGTTTCTAAAGAGAAGAATATACAGGTAAAGCAGTTATAGATCTCAGTGCTGTCCTTGTTCAGAGGACACAGTCACGGACCCTGAACTCACAAAAGAGCCACAGAGAAGGCAAACATTAGAAAGAAGGTCTTTGGAAGAAAGTAAATGTGTTCTGCTCAAAGACACTTAACAAAGTTTTAAAACTGGGAACGTATGCCCTGGGCGGCATGCTCAGTGGTTAGAACAATGGCCCATTCACTGAAGAGTCTTGGGTTTGATTCTTGGTCAAGGGCATGTACCTGGGTTGCAGGTTCGATCCCCGACCGTAGTCGGGGCTCATGTGGGAGGCAACCAGTCGATCTCTCCCACACTGATGTCTCTGTCTCTCTCTCTGTCTCTCTCTCCCCTGCCCCACCCTTTAAAAAAAAAAAAAGCAATGGGAAAAATATCCTTCTGTGAGGATTAACAAACAAACTAAAAACACAAAACCTAGGAACTCAAATAGTCAATAAAAGGAAAATGATGAGTTTAACTATAGGACACAAAGACCAAATATCTTATAGGCATGAAAATGCTTAATACAAGGACATATTTGTTACATAAAAACAAAGGGGCTGTTATATATAGTTTGTTCACAACTACATAAAAAGCCTTTTAAGAAAACATTAGAAACATCAAAATGTTAATAATATTTATCTTTGGCCGAAACCGGTTTGGCTCAGTGGATAGAGCGTCGGCCTGCGGACTGAAAGGTCCCGGGTTCGATTCCGGTCAAGGGCATGTACCTGGGTTGCGGGCTCATCCCCGGTAGGGGATGTGCAGGAGGCAGCTGGTCGATGTTTCTCTCTCATCGATGTTTCTAACTCTATCTCTCTCCCTTCCTCTCTGTAAAAAATCAATAAAATATATTTTAAAAAAATAATAATATTTATCTTTGGATGGTAGACTTAAGAAATTTTGATTTTTATTTCTATTTTTAAATACTTTTTAATACTATAATCATGGATTATTTTAATATTTGAGGCAAAATATTTTAAAGAAGGCAGAGAGGAATAACAGACAAACATTTCTGTCTGTAAACACACCAAATGCCAGCTTTAACCTGAAACTGAACAGACCTGAGCTCTGTTCTTACCGCTCCACAGGAACCAGCTTCTTCCACTGGGCCACCAGGTCCCTGGCAAAGCTTCCCACGTGCTCGTGTTTTCGTAAGCTATTTACCGTCTTCCCAACGCCTGTCTCCTGCAAATTGAACACATGAATTTTTAGAGTTGTGGAAATAGGCTCACAATTTTCAAAGAAATCAGACCTCTTGCTTTTTAACAAACCAATAACTTCCTTCTTAAAATGTATCTTGCAAGCCTCAGTACAAAATTAGTTTGTTTCTATACCCCAAGCCTCTGACACACAGTAGCAAACAAAGCGTACCAGATCAGAAGAGGAGATACTGAATTGAAACACTTCCACAGTAACCAGTGGTTCTGGCAGGTGCCAGACACTGAGCTAACAGCTTTGCATACAGTATCCCAGTCAATCCTCACAGTAACAACTCTGTGAGACAGGAATCTATCCATTTTACTTACAACTGGCTAAAGTCACAGAACTTGGATTTGAACCCAGGACTAGTTGATGACAAAGCCAACATTCTTTCAATTTTTAGAAAAATATTTTTGAGATAAAATTCATGTAACATAAAATCGACCATTTTAACCATTTTAAAGTGTATAGTTCAGTGGTTTACAGAATATTTACAATACTTTGCAGCCACCACCACTGTCTAATTCCAGAACATTTGTCACCCTAGAAAGGAACCCTGCTGCTCCCAATCGCCCCCACCCCCTGGCAACCACTAACCTACTTTCTGCCTGTGACAGTGAGGGTGAACCTTTTGAGCTCGGTGTGTCAGCATTTTGAAAAACCCTAACTGAACTCTGGTGCCGTGTCACATATAAAAATTTTTTGATCTTTGCAACCATAGTAAAATGAAGACTTATATTTTTGATATTTATTTTATATGTTTAAATGCCATTTAACAAAGAAAAATCAACCAAAAAAATGAGTTCGCGTGTCACCTCTGACACGCGTGTCATAGGTTCGCCATCACTGGCCTATGACCTGCCTATTCTGGACATTTCATATACATGGAATCATACAATACATGACCTTGTGTTTCCATTCCTTCACTTCCAAAGCCCATGCTCTCTGTCTTACGGTGCAATCTCTCCCATTAGGAAGGGGACAGGATATAGTTAGTGTTTTTTATTAGGGTGGATATAGTTTTATATAATATCTAAAGTTATACAGTTCTTACCACAAGAATGTCTACTGTTATAGGCAAGGCGGAGAGCTTCTTCAAATATTTTAATAGCTATAAAGAGAATAAAATAAACATTAATTCCTATAAACATAAACATTCACTGGAACAAATAAGAATAATATCTGACAGTTAAATACTTACTCAGTCTAAGTATTATACAGTAACAACAAGTATGGTTATTATCCCAATTTTACAAGTGTGAAAACAGGCTCAGAAAAGGTAAGTTACTTGCCCTAGGATGCAAGTAGGGCGAGATTCATTCAGGTCTGTGGCTTAGATTCCCGGCTTTTTTTTTTTTTTTAAATACATTTTATTGATTTTTTTACAGAGAGGAAGGGAGAGCGATAGAGTTAGAAACATCGATGAGAGAGAAACATCGATCAACTGCCTCCTGCACACGCCCTACTGGGGATGTGCCCACAACCAACGTACATGCCCTTGGCCGGAATCGAACCCAGGACCCTTCAGTCCGCAAGCCGATGGATGCTCTGTCCACTGAGCCAAACCGGTTAGAGCTAGATTCCCGGCTTTTAACCACTGTGCTACACCAACAGGAAATGAGACTTAAAGAGAATCAAACCTACCAACTCTAAGAAAAGTTATCAACTATCATTTTGAGAGAATTTCTAAGAAAGGTACTGATCTTAGGGAAATTACCCATGGATTTGGCACAAAGGAAAAGAAAAGGGAGCAGAAGTCTCCATAAGAAAAGGGTATCATGTTTCCAGGCAGAGTCAGCAGTGTTTAACAGAACTATTTTTTGGAAACAATGGGAAGGCAAGACCAATTTCAAGTTGCCAGAATTAGAGCATTGCCATTAATGGTAAACACACAATGTCTGGGTATATTAGAAAAGTGACCTGGGTTTGGTCACATTTCCTGTCCCTAAAACTAGGTCAAAATCAGGAGAGCACTGCTGTTAAGACAGTTCCAGAGTCAGAGACAGGCTTCAGTTTTGCCCTGTCACCTCCTTGCCAGGCGATCTTGTACAAGTCAGTCACCTCTCTGCACCTCATTTACTCCTTCTGCAAAATAGGAACTGGATCCTGTTTCTACCTCACAAGTGTGAGGATTCACAGAAACAACCATGAGTAGTCCTTAGCCATCGAGTCCTATAAAGCTCAATAAATGTTTATAATTAATCATTTCATTCATCAAGGAACAGATCTTTATTTATTTTTTTGTTAATCCTCACCCAAGGACATTTTTTCCATTCATTTCTAGAGAGGGGTAGAGACAGAGAAACATCAATGTGAGAGACATCAACTGGGGGCTGCACCTGAGGTACATATCCTTGACTAGAATCGAACCCATAACCCTACAGTCCGAGGGCCAACACTCTAACCACTGAGCAAGCCGGCTAGGGCTCAAACAGACCTTTACATGCCTACCCTTGATCCTCAACCAGATAGTCCCCAGCCAATTCAAAGTTCTACTTGCTCCATTTCCACCAGAAGTCATGTATGTACATGTAAACATACTACCATTCAAGAAGCTGCAAATTACAAGTAGTTCAAAATAGAGAACTGTGACTAACCTTTGCATTTACATATTAGAGAACACAATCTGTTCTTTTTCCATGTATAGCCCAGGACATATAAGTATGTCACAAGCTATAGGTGGAGTAGCAAGTATGTTTTTCTGATCACTCTACTTCAATAATTACTGAATATGGTCACTAGGCAGAGCAACTGGATCACAAGCAATAACACTGTGTGACCAGGAACATGAGAAGCAAGTGGTGGATCTAGGGAGTTTCACCTTCATAGTTGAGTGAAAATTATACTCCACTTCAAATCTGGCTTTGTGTTCTGAAGTGAACATTAAGAAGATGAGAAGCTTCCAATATCCAACTTAGGAAAAACAATTCCTCTCCTTAAAGGAACACTGAGAATCACTGAAGAAGTTAGAAATAGGTTGTCTCCCCTAATACCATTCCCGGGAAGGCATTAATATGCCAACTACTGTGTGTCGATGACTATGTTAAGTTCTTACATGTGTCACCTCATTTATTTCATCTTCATTAACCACCTCTATAAAGTGGATATTATTCTCCCCATTTTATAGATATGGAGACCGGGCTCAGTGAGGCTAGGTAACTTACCTAATGAGCTAGTAACCAAGTATACCTACCACAGTATGTGCTACAAAGCCAGAAGCAACATCCAAAACAATACTGTCCTTAGGAAACAGAGCTGTAGTTTACCCCAGAGCAAAAAGCTCCTCCTCACAGCATCATACTGTCAGACAGTTTAGAGCCCACAGCGTAAAGGTCGCCCTGGGGACAAAGGGTCCTCGGGAGCTCCAGGAAGCCAGTGTTAAGGACGGTCCCACGTCACTGAGAGGTGTTCCATCTCAAAGCCTAGCACTAACTGGAGGAGCAGATGCCACCTGCCTGGTTTGCTTTGGGCTCGTAAGGGCGACTTAAGAGGAGACAAAGCTAAAGCCCTGGAGATTTTCAAAACAATTTAGCCTCATAAGTGAGAGGAAAGGGACTTCAGAGCCCTCTATTTTTAATGAGGTTCAAGAAAAAACCCACACAAAGCAATAACAAGGTAAAAGCACTTTGGGCATCCTCGGGTATATGGAAACTTGTTATTAAGCCAAAAGACCATTGTAAAGTTTGCAAGAACTGATAACAGGTCACTGAGAAATGTCAAACATTTGCACAGTACAGTGGGGCCTTGACTTACGAGTTTAATTCCTTCAGAGACCGAGCTCGTTAAGGAGCTCATTAACTCAAATTACTCTGTCAACTCAATGCAAAAAATCAGCTGAGAGACAGCTGGTATCTCAAAAAACTCGTTAGTTGGGACACTCGTAAGTCAAGGCCCCACTGTACATGCTTAGGAATTCAGCTGTCCTCTGCACACACCTTCGAATCCAAAGAGCAGAAGATGTTCATAAGGTTGACTCCTTAGTCTCCACTTGCCATCAAACTGTGTTCTGGGTAGTTTCACATTCAAAATGTAACAATGGACAGGTAACTTTACCAGCCATAAAAGTTATTTCCCATAACAATGTAGCAATCAAGTGATCCTGGTCTCTGCCTGACACCTTTGCACCAAGTAAACCTTGACCATAGATGGACTTCAAAGTGAAAATAGTTAAACACCAATATTAATACCAGAAAATCCACGAACACATGCATGGAATCCACCCTTTGGCTAATAATGGTTTGAAATCAGGATTTAGTTGCAATTCGGTACTGCTATATAATCATCTTGCAATTTCACGAACAACCTGTGGGAGCTTGTTGGGTTAACAGAAGGTTGATGAAAAGGCCATTGTGCCAGCTTGCAGTTTTCCCCCTGCAGTTAGCTCATTTCTGAACGCTAGCTAATGCTAGCAAAAATGATCTCCCAATATTTTCTCATCTTCTTTTAATTTTTAAAAATTGATCTTAGAGAGATGGAGGGGGAGAGGGGAAGAGAGGGAGAAGGAGACAGACAGAGAGAAACATCCATGTGAGAGAGACAACCTCACATCCACAGGTTGCCTCCCACATACACCCCAACTAGGGATCCAACAGCAACCTAAGTATGTGCCCTGATCAGGAATTGAACCTGCCACTTTCTGGTGTATAGGACAACCAACTGAGCCAAACTGGCCAGGGCTTTTCTCGTCTTCTTAATGTTCACTTCAGAACACAAAGCCAGAAGTTCAGGGTGATTTCCTATCTGGGAAGAGAAAGCCCAAATACTGGCAATAATCTCTAATAGTTCAAATAGGACGAGAAGTCAAACCTTTCCCTAATTTGGAATTTCGTTCATATCTACTAGAAAAGCTAATTCAAAATTTAAATTCTAGTGGAAGAATGACTATAGATACTACCTGGTGCATATTTTTAACCTGATAGATCAAAATTAGGGTTGGAAGATGGATTTACATAATGTTGCTTTAGGTTTTAAAGATCAGTCACAAACCTACAGAGTTTAGGAAAACAAACTGGTACTAAAAAATGATGAACATTTATTAGAAGTCCATAAAGTGTTATTATAAAAAGAAACTTGTAAAGATGCCTGGCCACTAAGTACTGAAGTCACGATAGAAAATAACACAATAATAAGCATTTACATTTTCACAGATTTAAAACTAAAATGGCTTCCTAAATAAGTGGATCTTTGAGCTAGGTATGAATTCGAAGAGTTAAAAAGTGGCCTGATGGTGAGATGCTGTATGCAGCCTTTACAAATGGAGGAAAAAACCCTCCTCTATGACAAGCTGGGAACAAGGTGAAGAGAAAGGACCCCTTCAAAAAAATGGTGAAGGGTGGTGATTAATATCTACTGGCACTTCCCATGAACCTGGCACTTCTGGCTTTTAGTTTATCTTAGGAAGCAGCAGGTGAGGAAGCAGGCTGAGCAAAGGATGTCCCCACCATCTGTGGCTGGTAAACGGGCCCCTTCATCTCCCCCGCCTCCTCAACAGGCACTCTGGGACTGACACCCAACTCTCAGAAACTGCACACTCACTAGAATGCCGACAGAGAATGTCAGACCGAGGTGTTTTCATCCGTGTGTTTAAATTTAAAAAATTCTAACACCCACCTCTCCCAGATACGGATAAGATGGGTAACACAAGGAGAGGGAGAAGAATGCATTTAACTGAAGAAAAGCTTAAAAAATAAAACAAAACTAGCTGAATACAATTAAAAATGGTTGCCCATCACTCGCTGCAAAACGAGAAACGTTAGCTCTTACCTTCAATGAAGTGAGGCCAGCAGGAAATCTACCCGCAACTTCTAACCTTTTCCTTTTCCAATCACAACCTAAGTTTTTAGGCTCTGTACAGACAGGAGGCGTGAGGTTTATTTTGCTTCGTTTTTTAAGGGCTTTACTCGGAAAGTGAAAAGGTCCAAGTTCTAGTATCGAAACGTCTCTTGGAGACGCAGGACCACACGCAAGCCTAGACTCCTCGTTCGCAGGCAGACGCCCCTCCTCCCAACACACATCAGAGACCAGAAACCTTTGCCGGGAGGGACGGGACGGGGCGGGAGGGCAGGAGTGAACTCCGGGCGAGCGCTCCCGACAGGAAACAGCTGGCCCGGGACGCCCGGAGGCTCGGGAGCCCGCGGAC